TGTATAAAAGCGATGAAACAACACTTCAATATGACCGGTAGATATAATACGATCGAGAAGTTATTTTATACCTTTCTTATTAACTCACAGGTTCAGCCCCCTGTATGTTCTGCTTACCAATCCCAAAGATCATTCATCTTCATTTTTTTTCTCTTTCTAAATCGATAATAAAAGATAATTTCGTAATAAAATATATAGTAATGATTACAATTTTGTATAGACACATGTTATTAATGCGTTAACCTTGTATCACCCAGCGTCATATTTATAGGACAGCTCCTATTTTCAAATACATAGTGTTTAGACATTTGTTTCAGCTCTATCATTTGTAACTGGATATTCTCAGAGATGCCAACTTCATCCACTCTGGTTTTCCAGCTGTCTGTTGAAGTGGCCTTTAGAATATTGACATGATTACTGAAATTCTTAAAGCTCTAGTCACAATGGCCTATGTTAACTGAGTTTGAACGCAAGATGATTTCAGGTGCTCCAAGGATAGGATTTTTTGAAAGATAGAATTTTTTGCAAGGATAGGGACTGAATGACAAGGGGCCTCCATGTTTTCCTTCCATAAAAATTTATTTTTTCAGAAATTGCAATATTTTTTTCTTTTTAAAACCAGAGATTGCATAGATAATGATCTTTGGGTCTACGAATGGATTTCCGGGAAAGATTTCAGGAAGGTATCTTGTTCAAGAAATCTTGTTCACAACATTTGTAAATGTGCCAGTCAGGTGGCCGAGTGGTCAGTGCTCCTAACTGGGAAGTCAATTGTTGCGGGTTCAAAACCCGCTCAGGGCATGGATGTTTCTCTCTCTCTCTCTCTGTTGTTCTTTGTGTGAATGTGGCTCACCCTATGAATGGGTATATGAGGCAGCGTGGCATAGGTAGTATTGCTCGCCTCCGTGACTTAGGGTCACAGGTGCTCACTGGTTAACGTTAAATGAACAAAACTCGAGACATCTCCCGTGGTAAGGAATGAAAGATACTACCATAAAAAAATGCCAGCCTTTTAAAAATAAATAAATAATAATAAAAAACATTTGCAAATGTAAAATAACGCGTAGTATTCTTTCTTAGTGGTCAGACTCATAAGTTAAACAGTTAGACTTATAAGTTAAACAGTTACTATAAGACAGTTGAAACAACTGTCAACTACAACAGGAGTAATATATAATTAAATTATTTAAATTATTAATTAAATTTATATTAAATTATTTGTCCATTATAAAGCACAGATAATTCTTTACGGCAAGATTATATGTATAGCCTAAAATCATCGCATTGCTTCAAGTATAAGGCACTCAAACTATGCCTTTTTTTCCCCTAGGAGCTTCGATAAGCAGCCTTGAAAAAGACCATTGTGGTAAAGGATTTTATTTATAATCCACGTCTGCATTTAGTTCCGATTGATCCGAATACATTGATCAGAGAGTGTATTTTTGAATCAAATAATTTTCAAAGAAAAAGTTTATTTGAGCACTGCCTCAAAAAAAAAAAAAGTGCCTGCCATTATGAAAATAAATAAATAGATAAATAATTAAAAAAAAAGATTCTCAAATGTAAATAATACATAGTATTCTTTTTTTAGTGGTCAGACTCATAAATCATTGATGAAACAATTGTCAAATACAACAGGAGTGATATATACAATGAACTGAATGCTTTTGATCCCTCTTTTCTCAGCGTTATTGTTCTTCAGAGGGAAGAAATAATTCCCAGAAAGAATCCTCTCTTTTCTTTCTATTTCAAGGGATCTAAATGTATGATTACAAATTTAAAAAATTCTTTTCAGCAGTTCTTTCCTTGCACTTTCTTTTTAATTAAAAAAAAGATACGAAAGAATAGACCTAGGGGTAACACCCCGACTGCCCTGACGTAAAAATGGCCCTGATGGTGATACTTAAAAACGCAAACGTAATTATTCTTATTTACAAGTTTTACAATTTTGTCCACTGCAAATTTATGAAAACTTTAGCAGAAAGCGGAACAGTTGGCATCCTTATATACATAAATTCTGAACAGTAATTTTCTTCAAATTCTTTCAAGTTAAAATGAAAGTGCCCTCACCTTTCTTATTCGTAGGGTGTTGTGGGAAGAAGGCTATAATATATCCTGTATCTTTTGTCTCAAGTTTTATTTTCAAAGCAGTCAATTGTTTATGTACGTTGTAATTGTTTATGCACGTTATAAATTTGTACATTTAGAATTTTTTTTTTAAATAAACTGAAAAGCATTATAAAAAACATATGTATTTTTTGAACAAAATTAGTGTTTAATTTAAAATATCCACATCCAAATTAGGTAAGATCAAGTTTTTATATAGACATCATAATTACTTATATAAGAATAACATTTAAAGGAAAACAAATGTATATCAGTATTTAAACCAAACATTATATTATAGATAATTTCTATTCTCCGATTGATTTTCGATTTTGGATTCGATAGCCAACTCAACTGAGAGTAGGTTGTGCTCAATCAAGCTCCGACGATTCAGAATCATGCCTTATCATCGAACTGCCCGCGGCGGGAAGGTTTCACCTCCCGGCCGTAGTCAAGACTCCTCACCTAATATCTCAGCTTCCTTAGATGCTGCAATGGACGACGCCACTAAGATGTGCGAAGATCTCTGACCAGAGCGAAACTTCGACGCTACGATGCGAATTATTTCCTGGAATTAATGGCCAAGAATGATCCCACCCCGACTCCCGAGAAGGACGTAGCAACTTTGACAGCGCCTGTGCCCGTTCCCGAGCCCAGCGCCCTCGAAACATCTGAGACTGAAGAGCCTGTGCCCGCTCCCGAGCCCAGCGTTCCTGAAACAACAGAGACAACAGAACCAGATGAGGAGGCCTCGGCATCCGAAACAGCGTTCCCAGATATTCCCTCCACTAAGCCTCCAGCCAAGAAGAGAAGGAAGAAAAAGAAGACGAAAGCAGCCTCTCCCCCAACTAAGCCTACTGCCTGCCAACCACCTTCCACTGCTCTTCCACCGCCGGAGTCACCCCCACCAGCCCCGATGGAGACCACCGAGGAAGCTCCCACCGACGCCGCACCTTCCAGGCTCTTTTTAGGGCCAGCAAATAATGATGTGAAATCAGCTAAATTCCTGAAAGTGCTCCTTCGTGGCCTCCCAAGGGACTTCGACCCAGACCTAATTTCCCTTGAATTAGGGAAATTAAATATCTAAACGCACAAGATCATCCAGTTCAAGAGGAGGGTGGACGGAGCCTGTCGGCCCCTCCCACTTTTCCTAGTGATCCTACCCATGCTGACCAACCACACGAAAGTGTATTTCACCGACAAAATCAGAGACATCCCGGTCAGCGTTGAGCGGTTCCACGGCGGCCGTCGGCCGATACAGTGTTTCCGCTGTCAGGCCTTTGGACACACCCAGATCTCTTGCTCAAGCCCTCCAAAGTGCATGAAGTGTGCCGAAGGGCACCACTCTTTTCAATGCAAGAAACCAAGGGACACTCCTGCAACTTGTTGCAATTGCAACAAAATCACACCTCCAATTTCTCAGGGTGCGAGGCCCGCCCCTGTAGAAAAAATCAAAGACAGAAGAAGACCACCCCAGCATCATCTGCACATAGATTGGTCTCCTTAATTAAAGAACTACAAGAATTGCTTAAAGACGAAGAAGTATTGTCGCTTCTCCAGACACCCTTACCCCAATCTTCCCTTATTGCCACATCATCTTCGATGAAGAAGTAGATAGCCCGGTCGGCTAGAGGCTTCGTAAAACTTATTTTACATCGGTACATCGGTAGTACTTATAATATGCTTTACATTTTTAAAAGCAACCAAATATTGTCAACTATTTGCAAAATTTACTTTGTAGTTATTTACCGCTTTTTAAATTATTTCAGCGCGTCCGCTACAGTTGGCATCTCTGTAATAAAATAACGAATATTAGAATAACGTTAACTTGCGAACTTGTTTGCTCCAATATTAGCTTGATAGGTCAGCTCTGATAGTATAGGAGCCTTAGTTCAAAGGATACTACAGTTTTTATTGCACTTTGTGATACATTTTTCCAAACAACGTTGTTAAAACGTTAAATAAAACCATTATCTTCAGTGAAATCTGCAAATGCTTTTTCACGTACGCCAGATAGCCGTTGGAACTGGAGATACTGAGAGGAATATGCTTCAATTTAATATTGCTACAGAAAGATCTAAAAATTATTATTTTTGTACTTCCTCCCAAAAACGTTTAATAAAAGGTCACTGCTATGGCGGCTAATAGTGTATTTTACTTGGAATAAAATTTTCATCCATTCCATTTTTTTTTTCAAGCTTCTAGCAATGCTGAGATAGAAACGCCTATATTCTACACATGTTAATACACCGATTCTAAGATTACTATATGTTGAAAATAGAGGTATGCATGATAGGCGTTCCTGTTATAAACACTAAAATCGGTTTACACTGGCTTCTCATTTTCTACAAATAGCTCATAGTGTCTAAAATGCTCGACTATCAACCTGCAAGGGCGCCGGCAGCGGGTTGAAAGGGGGTGCACTTGCACCCCCCCCCTGGCTTCTTTTTAAACAATTACAGAGATACAGAAAAAAATTTGATTATAAAATTTTTTTATTAAAAATATTTTTATTCAAGAACAAATAAGTAAGTAATTATTGATACATAACAATTAAAAAATTGTATAATCAAACAAGAATTGTAATCGTCTTGTTAGCTGTCAAATCTGTTAATAACTTTTTCAGTGAATTCTGAGTCATCTTTTCTTACGCACACTGAGCATGCACAAACTACTTTATCTCTCGTGAAACATTGTAGGCGGATTCCATGTTTTGATGCTTCGCATTGTACTAGCGTTCAATAGTGCACGTAGTAGCTGGAAGAGTTAGGCCAATTTTGACTGCCTCCCGCTACAGCTGGATGAAACGGTGTGGCCTAAATAACTAAATCGATGTATTCGAGGGATTCATAAGAATTTTCTCTATTAAAATAGATGAAAAAAATTAACAGATGGAAGTATGTGTAATAACAAAGCAAAATGTAACAGAATACTTTTTTTAGGGGGGAGAGTAGTTTGTTAGAGGGTTGCGCCCCCTTTTATATTATTCTGCCGGCGCCCTTGTCAACCTGTAATTAATTACAAGGACAAACCGGTCGTTGTCTATGATTATTTTTGACAGCGTCTCTTTGCAAGATAAATTATTAGACTTGGTCTGAGTGATATAACGAACCTCCCTGAATTGGACAACCAAATTCTTCATCTATAGCATGGTTTCTTAACCTGTGGTTCATGGACCCCTTAGGGGTCCATGGGTCATATTTTGGGGGTCCACCGACTGCTCTTTATTTTCAAAACGTTTGGATCAATAATATTTAAATAACATTGATCTTTTTTTCTTTCTAAAAGGTGAAAATACATACATATTTGAAACTAGGTGATCGAGATACCCCAAATTCAGTACGGACTGCACACAGCCCTCTAATATCCCTGTCATATTTTTAACATCCTCCACTAACCGGCTTTCAGTTTGCACCATCAGGGGCAACCCCCTGATGACGTCCGCTGTACTATTTTTATTATCCCCTATCAAGCTACGTACATTTGACACCTTGTTCAGGTTACTAGATCTAGAATTTTTTACTAAGAAGAAAGCCCAGTTTTTGAAATCTGGAACATTAGACAAACTTGGATTTGGTATTCCACAAAAACCTCTGGTTGAGGCATCTCTCAAAGTTGCATATCATATTGCTAAAAGCAAGAAACCGCATACTATTGGAGAGACGTTAATTAAGCCATGTGCGCTGGAGATGGTTGAATTAGTTTGTAGATTGGAACAGAAAAAAAAAACTTGAGGCAATTCCATTTTCAAATGATGTGACACATTCAAGAATAGTTGAAATTTCTTGCAATATCTTGAAAAAGATCATCGATGAATTGAAAGTATCGCCATTTCCCTTTAGTATGCAACTGGATGAAACTACAGATATCTCGAATTATAGTCAACTTCTTGTTTTTGTTCATTACGTGTCTCTTGATACTATCAAAGAAGAATTTTTATTTTGTGAATCTCTTTTGCAAACTACAAAGGCAGTTGATGTTTTAGCAATGTTAAATGTTTTCTTTACCAAGCAAGACTTCGGCTGGGAAGAAAAACTTCATTCACTTCGTACAGATGGAGCAACTGTGATGCTTGGCAATAAATCTGGTTTTGCCCAGTTGGTGAAAAAAAAGTCTCCTAATGTTCTTGTTACTCATTGTTTTTTACATAAGCATGCACTGGCTACAAAACTCTTCCAACCAGCTTAAAAGAAGCATTATCAAAAGTCACCAAAACTGTAAATTTTATTAGACGTAGAGCTCTTAATCATCGTCTCTTTAAAGCGCTGTGTCAAGAAATGAACGCAGAACATGAGGTACTTCTGTACCACACGGAATTGCGCTGTCTGTCACGAGGGCAGGTTTTGCAGCAATTTTTCTTGTTGAAGATCGAATTATCACTTGTTCTAGAAGAAAAAGATAACTCATTCTTCGAATATTTAAACAAAAAAGATTTTACCTATAAATTGGCTTACCTGGCAGATAATTTTAACCACATGAACAATATAAGTCTTTTAATTCAAGGACCCGATATCACCATTATGGATGCAGCTGAGAAACTACAAGCATTCTAATTGAAGATGCCACTTTGAAAAAAATAGAATTCAAAATGAGATAGATGCAAACTTTTAAATGTTGGACGAAGTACTTTCTGAAAATGGATTTTGGCAAGATAACTTGTTACTGAATAACTTGAAAAATGAAATCTGTGTACACCTGGAAGTACTTCAAGTTTCATTGAAAAAATATTTTAATTTAGATGAGATAAAGATAAAAGATGAGTTGTGGATTCGTCATCCTTTTCTTTGTGATATTGACTGTATCGATGATTATGAACCTTACCAGAGATGAGCTTATTGATCTTAGAACAAAGTTCTTGCTGAAAATGGATTTGGATTCAAAAACACTCGGATAGTTCTGGTCTTCTGTGAAAGTAGCCTACCCATTGCATGTAAAACGAGTTATTTCAGTTATAATTACGTTAGCCACAGTGTATCTTAACAAAGCTGGACTTTCCAGAGTTGTTACAATAAAAACAAAACATCGTTATCGATTGAATGTTAAACATGCTATGCGTGTTGTTTGTCGAAAACCATCCCTCTATTCAATTTATTATTTAAGGAAAAGCAGCAACAGCCTTCAGACTGAAAATTTTAGTTTTAAATATTTTGTATACTATTGAAATAATAAAAGTAAATGCTAAAATAAATTAAATACTAAAAATTGTTGTTTTTTGCAATTTTTTTTCTCAGATGGGTGGTCCGTGACTTCTAAAAAAAATTTGAAAGGGGTCCATTGTATCAAAAAGGTTAAGAAACACTGATCTATAGTAATGCCCTGCACGTGAACAACTCGAACATAGGTCACCAAAGTGGTCTATATAGATCCAAAGGGTTCTATTTAACATAAGCGGGGGTCGATCTGAGCCAGGGGGTCGATCCGAACCGGAAGGGTCGATTGGTCGAAGGATTATCAGTATTTTTCAGATATGTGACAATTAGAAATAAAAGAAGAAGAGGAAATATATACAGGTAATCTTCAAAAATTGAGCGACGATTTTAAACTGCGTTTTGTCGATTTGGAAAACATTGACATCCCTGATTGGATTATTGTGCCATTTTCTGCTCAAATTGAAAACGTGGACATCAACCTGCAAGATGAGCTTGCTGAATTATTATGGGGATTTGAAGNATCCACTTAACAAATTTTTTGAAATAATATTTTCCGCCCCACAGGTTGAGAATCGCTGACCTGAGTGATATAACGTAGCGCCTGTCCCTGCAGTGGACAACCAAATTCTATAGTAATGCCCTGCCCTTGAGCGACTAGAATATGAAAAGTGATCAAAAGTAGTACATAGTAAAATATTGGACTTGGACTAGACTAACATTCAGAGTGGCTGTCAGCGAGGCGGACAATTGACACTTTCTTATGTGGTGATGCCTTTGGGCAACTGGAATATGACAGTAATTGCAGATTATGATGAGTATATATTGATGACATTAAATTTATATATACTGAAAAATTTTTTTTTTTTGAAAGTATCAGTAATTCATTTTCTTTTAATATGTTAATCTTAAACATTTCTTCAAACGAGTGTTTTTTATC